AGGCCTGCTTCTCCCTCTCCCACTCCCCCTGCTTGTGTTCCCTCTCTCGCTGTGTCTCTCTCTGTCAAATAAATAAATAAACCTGAAACCTATTTTTCTAGATTTTTTAATTTTACTTGATATTTTTTGCTTTAATTGTTTAACAGTTTGAGATTACATACCGTATAGTTTACATACCGTATATCCACCCATTTAAGTGTACAATTCATTGGTTTTTAATACACTCACAGAGTTTTGCAACTAGTACTACAATCATTTTTACAGCGTTTTCATCACCCAGGAACTGCCCAACTTTTTCCAGAATGGTTTCAATATTTTATAATCTTGTTAGCAATGTCTGAGGGTTCCAGTTTCTCCACATCCTTACCAATTCTTGTTATTTTCCTTTTTTTCATTATAGTTGTCCCTAGTGGGTGTGAAGTGGCATCTCATTGTGGCTTTAATTTGCATTTCCATCCTGGTATTTTTTATGTAGAAAGATTTAGTGTACACAGAGTATAAAATATTTTCCATATTAAAGGTAGTATTAAGTATAGTAGATGGTAAAAGTTTTTATTTTTTTTGTTTCATCTGAAATAACTTTTAAATCTATATTTAAGCTGGTTTAGGAAATTTATACTTCTCTCACATTTCTCTTTGCAGTCAGCTCCCTCAGACAAACAAGATCGATTAAACCAGACTATTAAAAAAGGAAAAGTCAAGAGTATTGATCTGCCTATACAGAGTAGCCTGTGTAGACAATTGGGCCAAGATCTTCTCAACAGCTACATTGAAAATGAGGTATATAAATCTTAAGTTGGTGTTGAAATAACTGGTAGTATATGCTGAAATTTTTGTAGAAGTCAATGATTATTATCTCCCCCCCAATTTGGGGACCTAGTCCATAACTCCTAAGGAATTAGTAAATCATTGAACTACTTTTAGACAAAATACTGAGCTATATTAATGTCATGTACAGTGTAGCTTTCATCAGAGTTACGTGAAAAACATGCGTTGTCTCCACTATAAAGAAAGACCACTCTAATACTAAGGATTCTTTTTCCACTACTCTGTCTTTAACATTAACACACGGCAGACATCATATAGGGAAGTATTAGCAGCTCCGCTCTTCTAATGTGTTGTTCTTAAAGATAAGGCGCTTTTCAAAATGTTTTCTGACTTCCCTTTACTACTTCTTAAGATCTATTGTCAGTCCTGAAATTTTCTTTACATGTCTATGTGTCTAATTTTAGTCTCTTGAGGAAAAGAGTTTTGTTTCTTGACTAGCAGTTGTGTAAGAAGTAATTTTATTTTTAAAACTTTTATTTAAGTAGTGGTAATTTCTACAGGCTTGGCTAGTGTTAGAGAAGGTCAGTTTTCTTTGAAGCGCCCCATACTGCCATTGGTGCACATTATTTTCGGAATTTCTTCAAGAGATTTTGACTTTACAATGCTTGCTCTTTTTAGTTCCTACCTATATTGTCTATTCACTAACTATTAAAGGCTGCATTTTAGGTCAAGCAAGCATTCCTGGAGACCATGAGTAATTCAGAATTTGTTTTGAGACAAATTAATTTTTGCAAAGGAATAAATTGTAAGCAAGTGCTGCTGTGGCAAATTTTGTGTATACAATTTTTCTTAAAGTTTTAAATGTCTCACTATTTTAAATTCCAGATGTCAGTGCACTGTAGTCTTCTGTTTAAAATACTATATTTCTATTAAAGTGAAAATTTGGTTCAGGTATTACAATCCTCAGATTCTTTCTTTGCTTTAATTATAACAGTAATCATATTTGCCTTTAATTATAACAATAATCATATTTGCTAACCTCTTAAAACACGTTATCGTATTTAATCCTCAAAACAAACTGTGAAGTACTGTTAGAGATTTATGTTTTACAGATGAAGAAACAGGAACAGGTAGACTAAATCATACAAGGCCAGAGAGTAACCTTTGAGTTGGATCTGGATAGTCTGTCTCCAAAGCTCAAGATCACAACCACTATACTATATCCCCTTCCAGAGCTAACATTTGAGTTATGTGCTAGGCACTGTTCTAAAATTTTATGTGAATCATGTCAGTCTTACTAACAGCCCTAACAGACAGATAGTTGTATTCTCTCTGTTTTCGGATAAGAAAACTGAGGCTTAGAGAGGTTCAGTGACCTTCCTGTGATCTCAAAGCTAGTAAATGGGGAGCCAAGGAATTGAACCCGAGTATGTACAATGACATAGTCTTTGTGGGGTTTTCTAAATAGCTTTATTGAGATATAATTCACATACCATACAGTTTACCCATTTAAAGTTTACAATTTGGTAGCTTTTGGAATATTACACATTACTAATCTTTTAAACTGTAGTAAAATGTATATCACATAAAATTTGCCATTTTGACTAAATGTACAACTATTCAGTGGCATTGTTACATTCACAATTTTGTCAATTGTCACCACTGCCTATTTCCAAAACTTTTTCATGACCCCAGAAAGTCTGTAATCATTAATAACTCACCATTCCTTTCTTCCCCCAACCCCCAATAAACTCTAGCCACTTTCTGTCTCTGGATTTGTCTATTCTAGATAAATCATATGAATATAGGGACACCTGGGTGGCTCAGTCAGTTAAGCGTCTGCCTTCGGCTCAGGTCATGATCCTAGCGTCCTGGGATCGAGTCCCGCATCGGGCTCCCTGCTCAGCGGGGAGCCTGCTTCTCCTTCTGCCTCCTATGCCGGCTCTGCCTGCCGCTACTCCTGCTTATGCTCTCTCTCTCTGACATAAATAAATAAAATCTTTAAAAAAAAAAAAATCATATGAATATAATCATACAATATTTGTCCTTTTGTGTCTGGTTTAATACACTTAGCATGTTTTCAGAGTTCATCCGTGTTGTAACATGTATCAGAACTTTATACCTTTTTATAATAGAATAATATTTCATTGGAGATATATGTACATTTTATTTATCCATTCATTTGTTAATGGACAACTGAGTTGTTTCCACCTTTTGGCTATTGTGAATAATGCTGTAGTGGGCATACAAATACCTGTTTTGAGTTCCTGTTTTCAGTTCCTTTGGTTCTATACTTAGGAGTGAAATTGCTGTCCTATTGTAATTCTTTGTTTAGTCTTTTGAGGAACCACCAAACTGTTTTACATAACAGCTGCAGCATTTTACATTCCCAGTAGCAATATGCAAGGGTTAAAAATTCTCCACATCCTCACCAACACTGTCCATTTCTTATAATCCATTTCTTTGATTATAGTCATTCTAGTAGGTATGAAAGGGTTTTGATTTGCATTTCCCTGATGCATATTCTTTTTTTTTTTTTAATTGAAGTCTAGTTGATATACAGTGTTACTTTAGTTTCAGGTATATAGCATAGTGATAAATCAGTCTATACATCATCTCTCACTATACACTATTATTATACTATTGACTATATTCCCTGTGTTGTACCATTTAGCCCCATGACTTACTCATTCCATAACTGGAAGCCTGTATCTCCACTCCCTTTCACCCATTTTGCCCATCCCCCCCACCTATCTCCCCTCTGGCAACCATCAGTTCTATTTATGGGACTGTTTCTACTTTGTTCTTCATTTGTTTTGTTTTTTAGATTCCACATATAAGTGAAATAATATGGTATTTGGTTTTGTCTGACTTGTTTCACTTAGCATAGGTCCATTTATGTTGTTGCAAATAGCAAGATTTCGTCCTTTTTTAATGGCCGAGTAATACTCTATTACGCACACTCACACACAGAGCCCACACCTTCTTTATCTATTCATCTATCAATGGACACGGGCTGCTTCTGTATCTTTGTATTGTAAATAATGCTGCAATAAACAGAGGGGTGCATACATCTAATTATTTTTGTTTTCTTTGGGTAAATACCCAATAGTGGAATTAATTGGATCTTACGGTACTTCTATTTTTAATTTTTTGAGGAACCTCCATACTGTTTTCCACAGTTGCTGCACCAATTTACATTCCCACCAACACTGCATGAGGATTCCTTTTTCTCCATACCTTCAGCGACACTTGTTATTTCTTGTCTTTTTGATTCTAGCCATTCTGACAGGTATTAGATGATAGATTATTGTGGTTTTGATATGCATTTCCCTGATGACTCTCCTGCATATTCTTAATAGCAACTAATCTAAACATTTTGAATAGGGGAAGATGATAATGCAAGATAAATTAGAGAAAGAAAGAAATGATGCTAAGAATGCCGTTGAAGAATATGTATATGATTTTAGAGACAAGCTGGGTACAGTCTATGAAAAATTCATCACTCAAGAAGTAAGTCTATATTTTAAAATTTTTTATTGGAACTATTTGTTTGAGGGGCACCTGGGTGTGTGGCTCAGTTGGTTAAGCATCTGACTCTTGATTTCAGCTCAGGTCATGATCTCAGGGTCGTGAGATTGAGCCTCATGTTGGGCTCCACGCTCAGTGTGGAGTCTGCTCTCTCTCTCTCCCCCCACCCCTCCCTCCACTTGCGCTCGCATGCGCTCTTGCTCATTCACACTTTCTCCCTAAAATAAATCTTTAAAAAAAATGATTTGTTTGACAATGTTAATACGAATTTTGTAAATAAACATACCAAATGTGTTACTGTTGTCAATCTCCTTGAGCCATGTTTAGGAATGGTTCATAGTTATTTCTCCCAATTGCAGAAGTATGGTGAAAAACATGTTTATGAATAAAAAGCCCGAGAAATCTGAAATTTAATCTTTTATACTTGAAAAACATTCTGTCCTTCTTTGATAACTTTTATTTCTGAGGAATGCATTTTCAGTCAGTGTCTTTTAAATGTATAACTAGGACTTGAATAAACTGTCTGCAATATTGGAAGACACAGAAAATTGGCTTTATGAAGAAGGAGAAGACCAACCTAAACAAATTTATGTGGATAAGCTTCAAGAACTTAAGGTAAATTTTTTAAAGTCCATGTTAGTTTTGAATAGAACATTAAGTCTTCCTAAAAATTATGCTGTAAAACACAGTCTATTTTTAATAAATATATTAGAAAATACTAAAGCAAGATACATGTAGGAAGAAATGTTGTCTAATCTTAAAAGCATTTTTAGAGGGCAGTAATGCTACATGATAATTGAATTCAAGTAATGTATAATTATATTATGATTTTCAGGTATAAATATGTAGCACATGATTGCAGTGTTACCACTTTTATATTAGCCATCTATTTCTGAGATGTCATTAAGATGAGATTTGTGAACCTGCTCCCTTCTTAGCCATTGGAGGATACACCCTTTCTCTGCTTCTCTCCCCCTTCACTGCCATGATTTAGAGCAGTAATATACTGCCCTTTTGTATTTTCACATTGCAACTGATGTGGACACCTGGCCAGTGAAGAAATTCGAAAATAGTGCTCCTGCTCTTGAATGTCATTCCACAAAGAAATAAGGAGATGTGGCCACCAGGTCTCCCTTTTCTAGGTCCAGTGGTATGATTTTAAGAAAAGACCACTATTACTCCTTTCTGCTTGTCTACCCTACCCTGAAAAAAAGAAATAGTTTTAAGTTCAGATTACAAGGATGATAGGAAATTTGTCTTTTCTTCCAAGTGTGGATCATAGCAATACTTTAATGTTCACATAATTACCAGGGGCTCTTACTAAATGCAGACTGTGATTCAGTATATATCTGAGGTGGTGGGCCCATGATTCTCTGTTTTTAACAAACTTCCAAGAAATTATGATGGTGCTGGTCACTGAGCCACTCTGAGTAGCAAGGGAAAAACATAGATGACATTGATAATGATTCCTAGACTATGGGAAAAGGCAGCCCTTTAGGACTGGGGAGGTGGGGAGTGTAAGAGAAGTTACTTAAAAGCAAAAGTTAATATCTTGAAAAAGTTAGAATTGTCTTCATGCCAGTAAATTACTTCCAGATAGAATAATTAGAAAGCAACTAAAAAACCTAAGCTTATGGTAGCAAAACTAGGCTTTATCACATTTTTATCTTGATGGTGGTATTACTCCCCATCTCCCTAAGAGAATGTGTATATTTTGGGTAGTAGGAGCAGCCAGGCATCTGAGGGTAGTAGAAATAACTGAAAGGCCAAGCAGCCCTCAAGAAGAATTATTTTACCCCAAATATATAAGTAACCATAGAAATGAACGTTATAGAAGTTTGCACAGGCCTTAGTATGCTTTTTTTTTTTTTGAGTTGGCTGTTAAAAATACAGTACTTGGTCCTCTTTTCAAAAACATTTACAATAAGGGGCACCTGGGGGGCTCACTTGGTTAAGCATCTGTCTTTGGCTCAGGTCATGATCCCAGGGGTTCCCTGCTCAGTGGGGTGTCTACTTCTCCCTCTGCTCCTCCTCTCCCCCTCCATTTGCTCTCTCTCTCTGCTCCTCCCCTGCTCATGCACTCTCTCACACTCGTGCATGTCCTCTCTCTCAAATAAATAAAATATTTTTCTTTAATATTTTATTTATTTGTTTGATAGAGACACAGCGAGAAAGGGAACACAAGCAGGGGGAGTGGGAGAGGGAGAAGCAGGCCTCCCGCTGAGCAGGGAGCCTGATGAGGGGCTGGATCCCAGGACCCTGGGATCATGACCTGAGCCGAAGGCAGACGCTTAACGACTGAGCCACCCAGGTGCCCCGCAAATAAATAAAATCTTAAAAAAATTTTTTTTCAATAAAAAATGTGATGTAAATAGACTAAATGCAATATGGTATCCTGGAACAGAAAATTATGAAATCCACATGAGGTCTGGAGTTCAGTTAATAGTAATGCACTAGTGTTGGTTTCTTAGTTTTAACAAGTTGTATGTTCTATGGTGGTATAAGATGTTAACATTAGAGGATAGCAATGAGAGATACTTGATGCTCTATTATTTCCTTTATAATTTATCTGAAAATCTAAAATTACTCTAAAATACATTTTAAGTGTATTAAGAATATAAAAGAAAATAGGTATTCATTCTTCTAATGCATCCCCCTTCTCAAAGTTATAAAGGCTATTTTAACATTTAGAAAGTCCCCATTCCAGGCACTTAGGGTAAGGGGCCAAAGGTTTGTTTTTTTTGGTTTTGTTTTGTTTTTTTAAAGTGCTATACTCATAGATCCAGAATTTCCATCAAATTAATAAACATAAATAATATTCAGTAGATAATGAATATCCAGAAATTCCAGTAATCATGTTGTTTACAGAGTTATACACAGAAATACTTGAAAGCAAGTTTCAAATACATGAATTCTGCATGGAGTATTGTCCTTACGGTCTTCTCATTTAACAGTTCTGTAAACTTTTAACACCTAACTTTGAAGGAATTAAAAAGTGTTGCCTTTGGATTTGAGAGGAATCAAGAGGTGATCTTAATAAATGAGAGAAAGACCTCAAACATTAGTCAGGCATGTCTGTGTAGGATTGCATAAGGACGTAGCCGCCGGAATTTACCCTCACGTAGGGAAACAGAGGAGGCATATTTTGATCTGGCCAGCTTTCTTTCCTATTCATCTGCATGTAAAGGCCCATAAAAGTTGTCTTCTGTTAAAAATTGTTTTCTGTTAATAACTTTTTTCTTTTAAAAAAATTTCTTAATAGAAATATGGCCAGCCTATTCAGATGAGGTACATGGAACATGAAGAGAGACCAAAAGCTTTAAACGACTTGGGAAAAAAGATTCAACTTGTTATGAAAGTGATAGAAGCATACAGAAACAAGGTATGAAAGCCACAAAGCCAGCGAATGATGATGCCATGTGGGGGTAGTACATGGTGGCGGTAGGGTAAATCTATAAGTTCTCAGCTACAAAACTATCTCAATTATTGCCACCAAGTTCTGGAGACCTTGTGCACCAAACTTAAAACTTTTTTTTTTTATTGGAGGGGCGCCTGGGTGGCTCAGTCATTTGAGCATCCAACTCTTGATTTTGGCTCAGGTCATGATCTCAGAGTCGTAGGATCGAGCCCTGTGTTGGGCTCCACACTGAACAGGAAGACTGCTTGGGATTCTCTCTCTTTTCCCTTTCCCTCTGTCCCCAACCCCACCCCATGCATGTACTCTCTCTCAAAAAAAAAAAAAAAAAATTTTTTGTTGGAAAATTATTGGTAAAGGGTACTTACACACTTAAAATACAGGGCAGATATGTGGCTTTAATCTCTTAAAATTCCCTAGGTGTGTATGGTTTTAAAACACAGCATCACCATTCTCCCAGCTCTTTGGCTTTGGAGTACTCTTTCATTCCATTTCCCTTTATTTTCCATGTCCAATCTATAATCCATCAGGAAATCCTCTTTATGTTGCATTGCCATTTCTTTCTGGTCTTGTGACTACCATCCTAAACCGTGATTTCTTAGATTGTTTCCTATATGTGGTTGCCTGCAGTTGTATCTTTCAGACAGAATGTTATGTAATTCTCCTTATCAACAACTTACCATGCTGTTCTGCTATATATTGAGAATTTTCTGTCTATCTTGCGGTATGCCTTCTTCTCTTATTTCTCTTTATTCCCTAACAAATTCAATTCCGTGCATCTTCTTTCTTGGCTAAGTAGGCATTTTTTGGCAAACCTGACTTCTTCAGAAAGCCTTTCCTTTTAAAACACACTGATTTTTTTCTTTCTCCCAGTCTCTTCAAGTCTATATAATTTGTATGTGGCTTCTTCACATGGATATGTGTGAGGTATACATTCAGTAAGAATCTAAATCTTTTAAATAGAAATTATTAATTGATGCATTACTGACAATTTTACATTAAAATTTTTTTAATAGGATGAAAGATACGATCATTTGGATCCTGCTGATGTGGAAAAAGTTGAAAAATATATCAGTGAAGCCATGAGTTGGCTGAACAGTAAGATGAATGCACAGAACAAACTAAGTCTCACTCAAGATCCTGTGGTGAAAGTTTCAGAAATAGTTGCGAAGTCAAAGGTAAGTAACTATAAAATTCTCTTTTTAATGGGTTCAAGCATTAAACATTTTTTTTAAGACTTTATTTGGGGTGCCTGCGTGGCTCAGTCGTTAAGCGTCTGCCTTCGGCTCAGGTCATGGTCCCAGGGTCCTGGGATCGAGCCCCGCATCGGGCTCCCTGCTCGGCAGGAGGCCTGCTTCTCCCTCTCCCACTCCCCCTGCTTGTGTTCCCTCTCTTACTGTGTCTGTCTCTGTCAAATAAATAAATAAAATCTTTAAAAAAAAAAAAAGATTTTATTTATTTGACAGACAGTGAGAACAGGAACACAAGCAGGGGCAGTGGGAGAGGGAGAAGCAGGCTTCCCGCCGAGCAGGGAGCCCGATGCGGGGCTCGATCCCAGGACCCTGGGACCATGACCTGAGCCGATGACCTGAGCCAAAGGTAGACACTTAATGACTGAGCCACCCAGGGCACCCAAGCATTAAACATTTTTAATGGGAGCCATACTTTGAGAAATCATCAACTTGCAAAAGAACTTAGAGAAACAAATTTAAGGCTCATTTGTAATTTTGCAAAAAAAAAGATTCTAGGTGGGACATCTCTGTTTCTTGATTTAGTCACATACACAAGGCTGTTTTTTTTTTTTTACATTTTAAGTGTAGTGCAGAAAGAAAGCAATATGACAACTTGCTGTTAAATACTTTAGATTTTTCGGGATTAGATAAGACTTCTAAATCTCCATTGTAAAACTTGGCAGTGTTGGTCTTTGACATCATTTGAAACCTGTAAAATTCTGTCGTAAAAATCTTACTTCTGAGAGAAATTTCCCGGTCTAAAAAACATTACCCATGAAAATATCAAAGATTACCATAGAAAAAAACACCATGAAAAACATGGAGACAAATTTTATAATAAAGATCAGCATCGGGGCGCCTGGGTGGCTCAGTCTGCCTTCGGCTCAGGTCATGATCCCAGGGTCCTGGGATCGAGCCCCGCCTCAGGCTCCCTGCTCCGCGGGAGGCCTGCTTCTCCCTCTCCCACTCTCCCTGCTTGTGTTCCCCCTCTCACTGTGTCTCTCTCTGTCAAATAAATAAATAAAATCTTAAAAAAAAAATCAGCATCTAAGTAGAAAAATTAGTAAAGACATAGGATAAGCCATTGACCAAAAAAGGCATATATGTCTGATAAGTATAGGAAAAGGTGTTCATCCTCATCACGTTCTTCTCACCCATCTCTCTTCATCGGATTCATGGTTGTGTGTTTACATTCATAATCTTTGTCATAAGTTGTCAAGGGTGCAAAGCAACAGATGCTCTCCCTGAGCAACTTGGTTGAATTCGTTAAAACATTTTTTATCAGTATATGTATAGAAATTTAAAGGAAGTGTACATACCCTTTAACCCAGAAATCACAGTTCTAGGAATTCATCCTAAATTGATCATTGCACAGGTATAGGCACATAAATACCCTTGCTTATTAGTTAGCAAAAAATTGGAAGAAACATACCTAGCCGTAAGAAACTAGATAAATTGAAGCATCCACACAACACTTTGCAATCATTACATAATTTTAGATATAGAGAGATATTTAGATAGAAAGATGTATACAACATATTGAATGGAAAAGGAAAGATTATAGAATCTAAATGAAGTTATTTAGCAAGCATCTTCATAGATCTGTAGCTTTGCATGTATGTGTATGCATGGACATACATCTAGAAGGATATTCACCAGAATGTTCATGTTAATCTGTAGAAGATGGAATTTCAGGTGCTTTTTTTTTTCTTTTCTAGTTGAGTATGTTTTCAAGGTTTTTGTTTTTCTGGGTTTTTTTAAACAAAAACAGGTATTTTTTTTAAGCAAAATATTTTCCTTTTGAGAAAGTTTTGCGAAGAAGCCATAATAATTTATGCCTCATCAATTGAGACATAGTGTGATAAGAGCAGTTTCCCCAGGATGTTAACACTCCTTCCTATCTTTCCATCACCATCCCAATCTCTGTGACACTGGTCTTGAAAGATTTTAATGGTCTTTTATTTCTGTGTTAAAAAGAAATAAGCAAAGATAGAGAAAATACATTGTACTTAAAGTTATTATATTAAGTTGCATTTACATTCATGACTTATTTTTCCTTCAGCATAGTTCTACAATTCCACTTATTAAAGCTGTTTTCATGTAAATATCAATTTATGAAATAGGTGTTATTTGACATAATTCTCAGAGCCTTAGGCATAATTTAAAGGAATGAATTAAAAATTATTTCTGCCCAAGAAAACTAAATTATGAGGAACCAGGTTTTTGGAAAATTAGATACAAAGAATTTATTAAAGATTGAAGAGTTCGTTGTCAACACTAACATGCACTAACCCTGAAGTAAATGCTTCATTGAAGTATTTGAAGAAACTTGGTTTTCTGACTGAGCTAACATAAATTCAGGAATGTCCTATTAATGTGGAAATTTAGAAAGTTAATGATAACTTATTCTGTAGTATTTTTAAAATAATCACTTTTCTTCATGTCTTTAGGAACTGGATAATTTCTGTAACCCCATCATTTACAAGCCCAAACCGAAAGTAGAGGTTGCTGAAGACAAAGCAAAAGCTAATAGTGAACACAATGGACCAATGGATGGACAGAGTGGGACTGAAACTAAACCAGATACAACAAAAGACAGCTCCCAGCATACTAAATCTTCTGGAGAGATGGAAGTGGACTAAGTCTTAAATTTACCTTCACATAATTCAAACAGTGCAAGCAACCACAAGGTCCATTCTTCCTTTTACATGTGGTACACACAACATATGTTCAGTTGTTCTTTAACAACTTTTTGTCATTTGTTTTTTGGAGTAGTTTTGAAAAGTGTTTTATATTGAGTGCACCTCTGTTCATTTCCATTGCTGCTTATGTGAAGCTTTAGCTGAGTATAGATTACAAGTCAGTTTTAGCTTTCCTAATACATGTTATATCAAACATGCGAGACTGATACGTATTTGGCAACAATCTACCTTATTTAAAGCTTCTACTTGGATAAACCTCAGCTCCTGTATTCAGGAGAGGATATTGTATTGCACTATTGTTGCAGAAGCATAGATTTAATTGCATCATCATTTTGAAAAACATTGAAATTGATGTGGTTTAAAGCCACTGAGGCACTGACTTTTTTTCTAGTTATTGTAGTTAGAATTTAAATATGAAAACAAATAATCTCATTGGTTGTGCCATGAGAGCTCCGAAGTATTGTCATCACATAAATGAAATAAATCACATGTTGAAAGGGAAAACACAATTTTTATGTTACGGTGACACCAGCAGTTTGCATCTTTTATTAGTAATGTGGATTGATGTTTTCTCAGAGTAATTCAGTGTCATTTTCACTTGAAACTTCTGATCTACTTGTCCTGAAGACCAGCTGCTGCTAAAGTAATACTAGCCTAAAGATAAGAAGCATTTTTGATGAAAATACCTTCATGTTAAGGGGGAAATGCTGTTGACCTACTCAGACATGCATCTGTGATGTTGATAGCCTTGTTTCAGTTTTAATAGTTGTTTTGGTTTTCTTAATTGATTTTGTTAATAACACAGGGTAGGGAGAAATGGCACAATGTGTATCGCATAATATACATTTATCACTGATTTACTTAATGTTAAGAAATAGATAAACACTATTAAATAAGTGGTAATACTTGAAAAGAAGTACTTCTACCGTAAGTCTTAGGAAATAATGCTTGTAATAAACTTAACTATGTTACATATCAACAGGCAAAATATAGAATGTTACATAAGTGTAATATGATATGATGTGATTAAATTATAGTTCCTGCTGTTACATTACCTGTTCAGATCTTGGCTCCAGTTTTGGTGCTTCTTACATCTATTATATGGGACAAAGGACTGTGAAATTAAGATATTTGAAGGACTTAATCTGTGCTTCATCACCAGACTTGTTCACATTGTTCAGTTCCTTCCAGAGGCTTGAAACTATTTAAGTATGGGAGCAGACTGAAATGACTTTCCAAACCTACAAGAAGCATAGACAATGCCATGGGCACTTTGTTTCATGCCAATCAACTAGATTAACCTAAGTTAAAATTTTGAAAGGCTCACTTTTCCCCAAAGCTAAACCTTTAAATTAAGAACAACTAATACTGACTTTTCTTAAGTAGTAAAAATTGAGAGTTGAATATCTTTAGGGATAGTCATTATTACTCACAAATAGTTCTCTTAAGAGAGATTTTGTTTCTACAATGTAGTCTGCCCTGAAGGGGAGAGTATGGAGCAGTGCATTTTGCAGGGATTTTTATTCATCCTTTTTGAGGGAGATGTCCCTTTTTTGCGTTAAAAAATCATATAGACCCAATATATTTTTAATGTCTTCTAGTCTTTAAACTTATCCTTGTCTTAATACTCCAGAAGTGAACTAATTATATCCATTAGTAATGAAGTACTTTTTTTTTCTTTAAAGCATCAGTTACTTTTCCTTTATAGGTTGAATATATAGGTTCATTTCAGGAATAGCATCAAAGTTAGGAAGGAATATTTCAACAGTACACATTAGGGAGTTTATAGCTTTTTCTTGAGTTAACAAGAAAATCTCCACCAACTTCGTTAAGACCTATGTAGCTCCATAACTTCTTGCAAACAGATGAGGAAATAGCCCTTTCTGCATCTGAATTGTCTAATTATACCTGACATTTCCTGTTCTTCTCTTCAGTTTATGTAGCTCTGTTTTAGTCAGATATATAACATTCCACTTCTTGCAGTTATATAACACCTGACTTAATAAGTTAAATACATCCAAAGATAATATGTATTCTTTTCCTACTCATTCAACTTAAATGATATTTTCAAAAGCCCTTTAACCTTTATGATGTGGTTATTTATTGAATATGTTAATAAAGGAAAATATGTTCTCCTTAATACAGTTTTGGGTGGAAGGCATGGTTCAGTTTAATTTTAATCTGCACTGAAATATATGCAGTACTAGACAAAAATTTTTTCAAAAAGGCCACTATTTTAGAAGTTATTTTAAAAGACCTAGAAAATTATAATGTTTTCCTATAATAAGCAAATACGAACTAAGTATGTAGAAAATATCTAGGATGGTTCATCTAGATTAGCACACTTTGGAAAAGTAGAAATTACTTGATTTCAGAATCCAACTCCTGATAGCCAATAATACTGTGATTTTAAAAACAAAGATTGCTTAAATACATAATATAAGAAAGTTTGAGATGTTTCAATTCCTTAGCAGTATACAGAATTCTTAAGTTAACAACTAGAAACAGCACACCAAAGAATTGGGCTTTTGGAATAAGCAGATCATCTCCGTTTAAAAGAATATAATTAATTAGACTTTTATTAAGAAGAAATAAAGATTTCTTAGAGTTTCTTGGCCAATTTTTAGTATATATATGATTATTTCCTAGATAGAAGTCTATATTAAAGTGAATTTTGGGGCTCAATATTCAATATAATGAGTGTTAAAGCATTTTATCCAAATTAGCACATCTTGAACTGTTTGTGAGAAATCATCAGTATTTAAAGACAAGAGGCAAATACAGTAAACCAATTAGCTGACTTCAGTTTGACCCAAAATACATAGAACCATTCCTCCATTTTCATAAATTTGAGTTGTAATAATAAACCTATAAACCTTCCCATTAGGAATTTTTTTTTAATAGCTGATATTTGGTAGTTCACAACAACTGAAACCCTGGCTTTGGTCTTACATACCATAGAAGTGAATCTTAAATGGCAAATACAACTTCACCCTTCTCACCTTTTAGAATTTCAACCAAAAACCTCAATTCTAAGGTAAATGTTATTTTGTGGTTAAACTTTGGAAGTTTTAAGTGGAATTTGGCTTTGTGATATTTGATCCTACAAAATTAATGATAGGCATAACTTAATTTTATCAGTATTTAAAATCTGATGGCACTGCTTAAAGGAGCCACTTGATAACTTTTCAAATGACATAGGTAGTAGGGATGCTTATCAAGTGTGGTTCTAATATTTTATTATCTACTTACTCTACAGTGGTTTGTGACTACCATTTAGCAAACTAATCTTTTTTAAAGCAATTTCAGAAAAACAGACTTTCTGATCAAAAAAGAAAAAGCAGGTTTATAATTACCTTTTGTTTTTTGTCAAGGTCTTATTTAATCCAAGGTCTTATCATTTTAAAAGTTCCCAGGAGGCATATAATTTTTTCTTTTGATAAAAAAGTAACAAAAATTAATGCAGATCAAAAAGACCAAAACAAACAAAAAACTTCATCTGTTTTGCTTCCACATCTCTAATTTAAAAATGTACTAAAATTAATGTTCTCCCATATATTCCTGTGTTTCCTAAGAAAACAGCTTTGGGTTTATAAATCAGATGTCTAAATTTTTTTCTTGCTAAATTCAAGGGTACTTGTTTCACACAAAAAAGGGCACCTGGAATTCTTAGAATATTAAACTGATACTGCTTAAAAGAAGAAAACTTAAATGTCTGTGGCAGTGGTCAAGTACCTATTAGGTGGTAATCATTCTTTCATCTTTCAGATCCCTAAGGATACCTCTAGCAATATTATTAGAGTAGGTACTAAAAGAAAAAGCACATCTATTAAAATACATTATTAAATGACTTGGAACATTCAAATCAAAGAAAAAAACTAATAATTGAATCATGATTATTTGACTCTGTCAAGCAGGTCAAAATCCATAACCATAATAAAAATCAACAGTATAATCTTTGCTTTGGAATCTATTACTGTCATGTTCTGAGTCACAGGGTGATTTATTAAAGAAGTAAAATGATAACCTAAAAATAACCCATCCTGTACAGAGATAAGTAAAATTCAGTATGTTTTACTTTTATAGTGTATAAACTTGTAGATGGAAATGATCTTATTATTTCTGGTTAATCTTGTTTTATTTATCCTGTCATCCAGTTCTAAGCTCTTAAATAATCCTATTTTTCTCAAGCATATTTTGTTGTTTTTTTTTAGATTATTCTTTAGGTCTTTTATTTCATGGATTTTTAAAAATAGTTTCACTGCTGTCCTATCACTTTGATAGCTAATTTTATTGCCTTTGTCCCCTTTAAATACCAAATCTTACTGTGAAGAATATTTTGACTCTTAAATTCATACTTGAAAGCCGTGTTGTAAGTTTCCATATATAATATCTCTAAAATTTAATAATGGCTTCTAGATTTTTCATGTTTTGGCCTTTAGAATACTTTCAAGTAGAATACTTTTAAGTAGTTCTGGACCAAAAGAGGTCAATTTTGTGAATTATTATGTATTAAGAAACCCAGCATTCCTTACTTTTAATACAAATATCAATGTGACAAAATAACAAGGTTCAGAAATTCAAAATAGTTGTTTAAGGGTTAGCCACCTTCCATTGTTTTTTGCTTTCTGATTTACGTACATGTGCTGTGCATCTTCCTTGTTTTTTTTACAATTTCCTAAATTTTTTGCTTTCAAGACCTTGAGTAAAATCCTCTTGAAATCATACGGACCCATCCAGAATAAGATGTTAAAATGTAATTAGAGATAGGGAAATCAAGGTAATGTTTTAAAGTGTTGTATTTTTGTCCCTGAAATAAAATTTTATGGCTTAGTGTTTTACAAGGAGGCTCACATTAAAAGTGGTTACCTTTTATACTTGGTAGGATGAAGCCATTGTTCAATACTACAGTATACAGAAGCAGTTTTTTAATGAAATTATCAAATTGTTTCAGTTCTAACAATATGGCATCCAAGTCATTTTTTCTTCAACCATTATTAAAATAATTTCTGTACATGGTGACTCTGACTCTAGTCATTAGTGTAAAATAATTTCTGGCAGTTTAGTTCCTACTAGCTATTTTTTCTTTTTTTAAGAAAACTACATTTGATTTCTTAATTTCCCAGTTTGTTTTCTCTACACAGAGTAACCAGTGCAATGCATAAAATCAACCAAGTATGACGTGTCTATAAAAATAATAACTGATTTTTGCATGTAATAGACCTCAGCTTCAATGAGCCAACATGAGAATGGTTTGAGATGATAACATTCTAGGAATACACAACTGGAACACAATTTTGGCTCACTACATCCTTAAAAATGTTTACATATGGCAGGATCAAAGTATATAAAACATTTTATGTATGTAAATTGACATCTTCATACTAGTGAACAAATAGCAATTGGTAATAAATGCAATTAATGTTTGGATGACAGTGCACATTGTCAAGTCATGTAATTAGAATAAATATATATCTACTTCTTGAACCATGTTTTGTACACCTTAGGTTTAATTTTCACATATTGAACTTCACTGACTTGATGGTAGTTTGTGGACAAGTCATCAGAAACATTTACAAAAGTTTGCTTATTGATGAGGGTCTTAAATGGGCGAATTTTTCAAACCTTCAGATGCAATTGATTCTGAAAACTAAAATAGTTTACTCATGTTGGATATGTTGTCAGAGAATAATTTAGCTTTATATACTAGAAGAGAAAATGTAGTAATAAATGAATATGAAGACTTTAGACATTTTCAGTAGGCATAGAGGAGCTCCATGCCCCGTTAAGTCTCATAATAGCTCTTGCTTGAGAATTGCAATTATTTTTTTTTAAAAGATTTTATTTATTTATTTGACACAGAGATCACAAGGGGGTGGGGGTGGGGAGAGGGAGAAGCAGGCTCCCGGCCGAGCAGGGAACCCAATGTGGAGCTCCATCCCAGGACCCTGGAATCATGACCTGAGCCAAAGGCAGACGCTTAACCGACTGAGACACCTAGGCGCCCCAGAAAATTGCTATTCTTAACAAAAATGTATCAAGTAGTTTAGGATGTTGGGATA